AGTCCATCCCACTGTGGGAATCCCACACAAGGCAATGCTCGCACGCCGCCGGATAGATAGATGGACGTATATACCCATGTACCGCGCCCCAAACCCGACTCGCCTCTGCGAAACGTGCCGCGTGAAACTCGCTTGACCGCACCTACCGGGTGTCGTCCGGAGAAACGGAGGACATTTATGAAGAAATGTCGATGTTACAATCTCGCACGCTAAATTTGTGAGAGAAAGAGACGCGTTTGAATTAACATCGCGGTTTGATATTGTGATCACGTGTCATTTCCGCGCTTGAGAATGACAAACCGATCGAAAAAAATCTAGGAATGTATAAATCTCTTGAAAAATTATATATATATATATTCCATGCTTTTTTGATCGATAAAAAATTTCTTTTATTTTATCGTGACTATCGCGATTAGAATTTAGGATTGTAGAATATTTTATCGCGATTGTCACGTTAGGATCTACCTAATTGTAAATCGAGCGGAATCGCAGAGCGATCGATTTTTTGTCTTTTTTTTTTTTTTTATCTTTTGTTTTTAATCAGACGACGACAACCATTAATCGATCTTTCCGCGAATAAAATCCGATCTCAAATTTTTGTTGCATGAAGATCTTTCATTAGCACGATCGGGAGGCGAAGTCGTGCTTGAGAAATTGAACCGCATTCGAACGTTTCCGGCTCCGATACTCCGGTCACGTTTTGTCAGACTCGACCAAAAAGTACATCGCAGACTTCCTCCTTCCTTTCACCTTGATTCCGCGTATTCCGCATGTATTTTCTTCGTTTTATTTTTTTATCTCCTCTATCCTATTCAAAATCTTCACCGCATCGTAGACGTTTAGTTTCGATGATGCGTTGTAAAACAAAAAAAGAAAAAGATTTTAGCGATTCGTCGCGAGAAACCACTCATCTCACACGCGTGTCCACCTATATATAAACCATCGTCTATGGACGTGCGAACGCATCGCCGCGTAAGACAGACACACACATACACACACATATCCGGATCGTGCCGAGACCCACTCACGAACGTCAAGCCCATTACTCTCGGCAGACCCCAGTCGGTCGGTCGGTCGGTTGGTCGGTCGTTCGCTCACTCGCTCTTAGAAAGCGCGGAACCGACAACCGAGCATAACGACAACGAGAAGCAGGCGAGAGAGAGAAAGAGAGAGAGAGAGAGAGAGAGAAGGAGGAAAAGAAGAAGGACGGAGACGTGGCGCGGAGACGCCAAGAGTAGCAGAAGCGGGCGAGAAAGGCGCGAGGCTATTTTGTCCCGCGGCGAAGACCCGCAAGAGCTCCGCGACGACGAGGCGGAGGAAGAAAAAGGAGAAGATCAAGAGAAGGGCGACGGGCGGGCGAGGGCGAGCGAAGACGGCGACGGCAGCGGGCGCGCCGAAGCGGAGAAAGAGGGAAAGGCACTCCGAAGCTTTTTGCGAGCGCGCCTTGTCGTGCCGCGCCGCGCTGCCGTCACGCCGAGCCACGCTGAGCCGTGCCATGCCGAGCCACGCCGCGGTTAGATCGACCGCCTGGCTAGGTTGATGGCGCGCCCAGCCGGAACTGCCAAGGCCGCGTGTCGCGGCGCGCTTTTAGCGTGTGCGTGTGCGTGTCGCGCGGCGTGGCGACACGTTCTCGGGCGTGTCGTTGACGGCACGGCCGGCGAGGTGACAGAACGAATTCACGACGGCGGCGGCGGCGGCGGCAGCGACGAGACATTATGCGCCGCGACGAGAGACGAGGCTCATTAGCGCCGTTCTCTGCGTCTCTCCTTCCACACCTCGCGTCCT